CCTGCCAAGCCGTCATAGGCAATATTAGTGCTCGATCTATAGAAGGTAAGTGCTCCAATAGAAGTAGCTATAACTCGAGGAGTATGTGTTATATAACAACTAGATGCTGGTGGTAGAATCTCTTGTGAGTCCACACGGGTAGGTACAACCACCCTGCCTATTTCAGCCGTGAAGCAGTAATGCGTTTCGGTTTGAAGAGTGGGCAGCCTTTGTAACTATACTGAGACTTTAGAACTGATATATCAAGGTAACACTAGGTGGTCTGTAAGCTCGTCCACCCAACTAAGCAATAAAAAAAACGCATAGTCAAGGAGCAGTTAAAGGTTGTGTCGTCGGCGAATAAGGCTAACTGGGTCGGCGGCGGCCGGGGAATGTCGTTGATGAATAAACTAAATAGGAGTGGCGAGAGGACGGAGCCCTGCGGCACTCCAGCCCTGAGTGGTCGCGGTGAGGAGCGGGTTCCCTCGACTCGATATTGAAAAGAGCGTTTCGACAAGAAGTCCCGCACGATGAGCACGAGACTATCCGGCACGCCCATGTTGAAAAGTTTGAAAATCAAACCGTTGTGTTCGAACACTTTAGCGACGTCGAAGAAGAGAGCTCCCGTGTATAACGGTTTTGGTCGGTTAAGCCCAACGAGATTGTGCTCCGTGAGGCGGTGCATCTGTTGTACGCATGAGTGATTTGCACGCAATCCTAATTGTTCATCGATGAGAATGCCCTTGGATGAGACGAAGTTTCTGAGACGTTTGCAGAACAGACGCTCATACAGCTTGCCTAGAGACATGAGGAGGCTAATCGGGCTGTAAAGATTGACCCATAATCAGCGCCAAAATATCGCGTTATGAACCCGTCAATTAATAGTGCTTATAACGTAGATTACAAAAAAGGATCACGGCAGCTTGGAGAAGCTAACGGTGACTGGCAAGGTGAACGGAAGAAGACCACGCGGTAGAGGCCCGACACGTTGGACTGACCAAATCCGCACTACCCTCGACACCACAGTTCACGACGCTCTACACTCGGTGGCGGATAGAGGCAAATGGCGTGGAATGGTCCGTAATAAGCTCTTGTTGCGAGGAGGTGGTCACGACCCCCAGTATTGAAGAAACCGAAGCAAGAAGAATAACGTAGATAGGCGATAAAGTTTAAATCAATTCGCAACTCTCACTTTTTTTTTTTTTTTATTGCTAAGATCGGTGGACGATCTCACAGCCCACCTGGTGTTAAGTGGTTACTGGAGCCCATAGACATCCACAACGTAAATGCGCCACCCACGTTGAGATATAAGTTCTGAGGTCTCAAGTATAGTTACAACGGCTGCCCCACCCTTCAAACCGAAACGCATTACTGCTTCACGGCAGAAGTAGGCAGGGTGGTGGTACCCACCCGCGCGAACTCACAAGAGGTCCTACCATCAGTAATTACGCAAATTATAATTTTGCGGGTTTCATTTTTATTACACAATGTTATCCGTGGAAGTCAATCGTGAACATTTGTTGAGTACGTATTTCATTAGAAAAATTGGTACCCGCCTGCGAGATTCGAACACCGGTGCATCGCTTCAACACGAATGCACCGGACGTCTTATCCGTTAGGCCGCGACGACTACTAAAATCACATCTATCGAATGTACAGAGAGAGCACTACAGACAGTTTTTATCCGATGTCTGGTATTACTATCTGATGAAGTCGCGCGGCGGAGGCACGTCCGCGATCAGAGATAGCTTTGGTAAGCATTAGAAATACCCGCTATAAAGATATAAGTATTTAACTAGCTATCTCAGAGATTATTGTGTTGTAATAAATGAAATTGTCACATACGTTAAAACATAATTTAGCCAAAGTCAATGTAATAAACATTTATCATACATTATTAATTGTTAATCACACGTGTATATATGAAAATATTTTAATTATTAGCTTCTTAGTGATTAAAATACTAGTGCTTAAGATAAGCTGAAAATAAATCGAATTTGTATACTTTTGGACTTAAATAAATCAGACATAAGACAGAATAAGACTTCACCGTTCACCTTTGTGACTTCGAACGTGTACTCAAGATATTATGTTTTTGTTGACAGCTTAACACTAATAACCGTAAGCTCTGAAGTTCTCAGACAAAAGGAAAACAAAAAAATTATCGCCTTGTTATTTATTCTTGTGCCAGCAACGTCAGACAAAAACTGAATGACAGATATTATGAATATGTATACTTTACTACGACATATTATAATATATCAAAGTCATAATCATAAAGCATCAAATGAATCGTGGAAGTTACTGGAAAATTGTCCGTATTTGCTGAATAATAAAAGCAGACATTCGCGTGACTTGCTATTTTTTCTTTCTAAAACTGAACTTAACAGTCTGAAAAGTAGCCCAAAACACTGCTTCCACATCAGTAATATTGTCACCTTAATTATCTACTTAACTTTCTATACTATATACTGTGTATACTATATACTAACCCCAAGTACCGGTCATCGTTCTCGTCGAACCCGTCGCTTGCGACGAAGGGCTCGGAGAATAAATTTACCCACAGACACAGCCCACTGAGTTTCTCGCCAGATCCTCTCAGTAGGTCGCGTTTTCGATCCGATGATAGATTCTGTAAAGCACGGCTGTTGCTAGGGTCTGTATTAACAACACTCCCGGTTGGAGCCCCGTGAACTTACCTACACGTCAAGGAGAAGCTGAAATAGCCTCTCAAGGCTATCAGCATAGTTAGAAAAAAATACAGAAAAAAACGCAATAGCCTATGATTTTATTTTATTTATATGATCATTTTTAACTTTCTTAATTTGCTTTGCAATTTGATGTTTGATAACTTGTTTGAAAGTTTGAATGTAATACAAACTGTCTCTTATGTAGGTATCTATATATTAATACGTGAAGCAAAAACTTTGTATCTCTTTTTACGAAAATTGGGCGGACGGAGGAGTATGAAATTTTCCACACTTATAGAGAATATAGAGAAGAAGTATACAATGCTATTTTTTTTTTAAATAATGCATAAAAGATACATTAAATCAATAAAGAAAACGTTACACACACTACATACCATGTATTTGACGCAACACGCAAATTATGTAGACTACAGCCGTAGCGTTTAAAAAAAACCAAAATTCTATGAACTTATTTATTATAGAATTATAATTATACAATTAATTAAACTAAGATGCTATTGAGTGGACTTGGACGATGTCAGTACCGAAGTGGCGCCAGCGGGCCCCGGCCCGGGCGGCATAGCGACGCTGCAGTGTCAGCACTTGACGCCAGTCGCGTAATTTTCCATGAACATGGAATGAGGTTGCTGCGTCGACAATTTGTAGTCACGTACGCCACTGGTTGCTAATTGCGAAATAGCGAATTAACAAAATGCATGTTACTAGGGTACGTAACACCTCCCCCCTTAGCTCGGCAACTATTTGATAATCTTGAGGGCAAATGTTGCCGGAATTCGGTCCTTCTTCTGGGGTTCTTCTGGACTCTCGTACGGGTGAAATTTTGAGGTTTCTTCGCGTGGCTTCTTTTCCAGGGTTATGTTGCAAGACTTGTGCCGATGAACAGCGATTACAACAGCTAGGACAATCGCGCCGCAGAGTGCTCCGTAAAAGGGTATTGTCGTATGAAAGAGTGCTTGGTTCGTGACGTCACTTTGTTCTAGGTCCACAGGATGTTGTTGGATTATATCATCTTGGATTTGGTGTATTNTGAGGGAAAGCTCTCCTCACTACGCAGAAACCCGCCGCCGCCGAGCAGGGGGTCGGGACCGGGGTCGTATCCGTGACCTGGCCCCCTAAGAGCTAGGGGTCCCACCCGTTTTGTGCGGGGAGGGACCCAGACGTGGGGTGGCGTGCTCTGCACGCTCACCCGCAATAGGAAGCCGGGTGATGGTAGACCGCGTTCCCCCGACCGCTCTGGGAGAAGGTGTAACGCGGCGCCATCAAAGCGGGCTCTCGGCCCGCTGAACGAGGGAACCGGTGGTCGTGTCGCTGGCGGCCACCGGTCCGGCGTCCGTGGGACGGTGGGATGGATGTAATGTGCTTTGCGTCAACCCTGTCCCGCCGTTTCAATAGCCCCGACTGGGCTCCGGCCCGGTCCGAGGTAGGGCGCCGGTTGTGAGCGGCAGGAGTTTTTAGTGAGGTTCAACTCCCACATACCCCACCTGCCGCGCGGGTGGCGATCCGGCGATTTTCTCCTGTGGAAAAAAAAAAAAAAAAAGTATCGATAGCGGATCACGGGACAATCAATATACGGTATTCGATAATATTTGTTTGCAATTCTCAAACATGGATGTGCTCAATTAAATATTTACAAAAAACATTACATTATTTTAATCGTTGATAACAAGCATTTGTTAGGAGCCACACATACCAATATTGGATTGAACATGTTTTGATTGTAACCTTATATGTTTATGATTTTATAACGTGCGAAGCATTTATTTCAGAACATCCTGAAATTTTAATGTATTCAAAGATACAATCAAACAATAACATAACCAGTGCTCGCTGCGAAACTTAAGTTTACAATTAACTGTTATCGATTGAAACTGAATTCAGTTTTACATGCTGATGAGTTCGGAACTAGTAATGGAAAATATGAACACAAAACTTATATGTGGGTAGCACATAATATGTACAAAGTGACGCTTGACACGACCAATGTGTAGGGAGAATTTAACTATCAATTTTATTAGTCTTCTATAATATAATATTAGCCTGTGTAAACATAGTTGAGATTAAATTTATTAATTTGAACTAAGCATTTAATTTAAACTAATTAAAAATTAAAATTAAGATTTTTTTTTTTAATTAATTCAAAATTAAAAATTAAAAACATAAAATTATAAATAAAAAATATAATTAATAAAAAAATATAATAATTAAAAAAATATGATTAATATAAAAAAAATATTAAAAATTAAAATTAAAAAAATATGAATTAAGAATAAAAAATTCTATGTGATTCAACAACGCCTAAAGCCAAAAATCATGAAGACACATTTGATTGTAACAAACATTCTTAACTGCATTTTTGGTGAGTTTTGATTTTTATTTATTTTTTTAAATAATGCGTAAATAGCTAGACGATAGCGATAATCTTATCGTGATGTTGAAATTCCAAGTCAAACAAAGTGCCATGGCCAGACCGCGTGATGATATTAGTTTTTTCTGTGTAGAAAGGAATTTAATGTAATGTAATGGAATTTTTTAATTGAAAAATTTTATGGTTGTTACCGCGATATTCTGATGTCGATTAATAGCACCTTAGTCGTTTATGGCGACGAAAACATCAGGATAAGCACAGCAAGAAAAGGCATGAGGTTGATTGAACTATATCGACGGTCCCACTCTTGAAATCGGAACGCGTGACTGTACATCTATAGAAACTAATCGCCCCGCAGTAGTCGAAATTCGACTATAATTAATTGAAATTATAAGTTTAAACATTATTATGGTTCTATTGTCCAACACTATTATAATTCGATAATATGATCACAGTATTCGCCAAAACTGCACTATACATAAATAATAATAAAGACTAACAATATTCGGCTATTTTCAATTTGACCACAGACTTTAAACACTAACAAAGGTTTGACAATTGACAATAAACGAAGAGTATATTTATATGTATATGTGTTCTGTCAAATACATGGTAGTGTGTGTAATGTTTTCTTTATTGATTTAATGTATCTTTTATGCATTATTTAAAAAAAATATTAGCATTGTGCACTTCTTCTCTATATTCTCTATAAGTGTGGAAAATTTCATACTTCTCCGTCCACGCAATTTTCGTAAAAAGGGATACAAAGTTTTTGCTTCACGTATTAATATATAGATAGCTGGACATGCCCTTTCTATTAAATATGTATACTTAGCGGTAGCTATCATTTAACACAAGATATTTGACAGATGCCTCCTGAATGTCGCTCACAAGTTTAGATATACATATACAAATTCCGACCAACAAAATAGGGACTGTCGGTCTATCGAGCAATTAAACCCGCTCGGTGGAAGATCTTTCCCTTGTTTGAAAAACAACATGACAACTTTCCGTTTGTGTATATAATAATATGATTTTAGGAAACTGAGGAATATATTTGGATATTCCAGACTCAAAATACGTTTGGAGCCTCTGGGTCTGCGGCGGGACTTCGCTTCTCTCTGTATTTTGTACCGTATGTTCCATGAGGAGTGCTCTGAGGAATTGCTGGAGATTATTGCATCATCTCGTTTTTACAATCACACCGCCCGCCACCGGAGTTGAGTTTATCCTTACTACCTGGAGCCACTGCGTTCATACACAGTGCGTTTCCAGAGATTTTTTTTTGCCACGTACCATCCGGCTTTGGAATGAGCTCCCCTCCACGGTGTTTCCCGAGCGCTATGACATGTCCTTCTTCAAACGAGGCTTGTGAAGAGTACTTAACGGTGGGCAACGGCTTGGCTCTGTCCCTGGCATTACTGAAGTCCATGGGCGACGGTAACCACACATCATCAGGTGGACCGTATGCTCGTCTGTCTACAAGAGCAATAATAAAATAAAAAATATACATATACTGGAAAGCTCTCCTCCTCCGATCCTCAGTCGATCGCTCATTGCTGAGCATCGTGATGCGCCCACCTGTGACCTTTTTTGTAATTTGTAGCCACTTATGTCGGTCAGTGGCACAGTGAAGTGCGTGGCTCAGTCTCTTGTCCAGACACTCGGACACTTGGTCACTCCATCTTTTTCGGCTCCGACCTCTGGATCGTCTTCCATCCACTTTACCTGTCACTATGAGTCTCTCTAGGTTAATGAAGAAACAACTATTTGAGTATCAACATAATTTTCCTCTCTCTATTGTAGTACCTTAAGCAATCATTGTACAATTCTGTTGAACTCGCTCACGTGTACGTCTGAGTGACCGCCGCGAGCGTAAATCTCAAACTCGCAAAATGGCGTCAAAATTTTTTTTCGGAAGTCACGCGGCCCTGGCTATTGCATTACGTGCCAGATGAATTTGCTTGCATAAATGGTTCGTTTATAGATGTTGGTTTTCACGATTTAATCTCAATGATTGATCTTGATGTTAATAACGTTTTTTGTTTTTGTTTTGTACAAAATTTATTTATATTTCCATAGCGAAAGCCATTATCCCGAGCACGGAATCGTGCGGCGTGGACAATTCACCGATAAATATTGTTTACGAGGGCAGAGCTCGCATCGAGACCTATCCCTGGCTGGGAATACTGTACTATCCATTATGTGAGTACTAAAAACTGTTCGTACAAACGTTTTTCACTAGTTCGCATGAAGCTATTTAAAAAATGAACATCATAAAAATTGCATATGCATTTAAATTTATTTTTGTTTTCCTTCATTGTATAATAAATTTTCCATTTTCAAACTGGCTCTGACGTTTGATCTTTTTTTTTAAACTCCCTTGACTGCATTGTGCCCTTCGTTTATACGTCACATGTAGATATTTTTCGGATTTCATTTGTACAATTAAAAAAAAGTATGTGTGAAAATCAGACGCGGCACAAGTAAATAATTCAGAAGCATTTTATCTCCTTTTTTTCCTAGCTATTCTAGTAACCTCAAGGGGTTATACTAGATTCACCGAACTAGTAGGTGAGCTCACGGGGTTCAAACCGAGAGTTTTGCTAGCACTGGCCCTAGCAAGAGCCGTGCTTCGCAGAATCTACCACCGGATCGGAAAGGCGACCCACCGAGAAGATCCGATCTGGCGAGTAACTCAGTGGGCTGGGTCTATGGGTTAATTTACTCGTCGAGCCCTTCGTCGCAAGCAACGGGTTCGGCGAAGACGGTGACCGATGCTTGAGATACCTAAAAGGACGACGTGCTTAGGGCGACGTCGACTGTTTACCATTCGGTCCACAGGATCGGGTATGAGCCTCCTCCAGGATGAACGATGACCTATTGAGGTTCGCGGGAATTCGCTGGATGCAGACAGCGCAGAACCGNTTTTATAAAAAATCAACAAACACTCAACAAATAGCAATGGCAACAAAGTCCACAAGCAATTATAACAAATAACTTAACGATTAATAACGATAGACTTTCCACTGTACGCAAGCGTACTTTTGGGAGCAAGCGGAATGAGGGCGCGGTGCGGGACGCAAGGTTCGACTGATCTACCAATAACGCGCTCGATACGATTTCCCCTGCCGTCGCGCCTCACCCTCACCACCAAAGTGATCTAAAATTCGGTTCTGCGCAGTCAAGGTCATTTGCTCAAGAAGTTTGCCGATTACTATATCACTGTGATCATTACTAAAACCTACAATTATCCTCTTCCCGAAATTTTACATTATCTTGAAGCCAACGTTTTTGAAGATTTCATTTCTACTACATTTGAATTGCACACATATTTTTTTTTGTTTTTGTATAAAATCGAATAGCACCGTACCTACATTTTTTTGCCATTCACAATTTGTTTTCATTACACATATGAACAATCTCACATCAAAATGACATCACATCCATCATGTTTTTTTTTTCCTACCTATGCTGATAGCCTTGAGAGGCTATTTCAGCTTCGCCCTAACGTTTGTAGGTGAGCTCACGGGGCTCAACCGGAGAGTTGCTAACACTGACCCTAGCAAGAGCAGTGCTTCGCAGAATCTACCACCGGATCGGGAACGCGACCCACTGAGAAGATCCGGCGAGAAACTCAGTGGGCCGGCCATCATGAAACATTAGATTTGAGTCTTAATTATGTAGTACTAGCGACCCGCCCTCGCTTCGCTTCGGAAACTGTAATTTATTATTGATTTCGCCACTATTTAATGGATGTTATTATACATTTACCTTACCTTCCTCTTCAATCACTCTATCTATTAAAAAAAACCGCATCAAAATCCGTTGCGTAGTTTTAAAGATTTAAGCATACATAGGGACAGATATAGGGACAGAGAAAGCGACTTTGTTTTATACTATGTAGTGATAAATGACCCCAGAACATACTTTTTCTGTTAACACAGATCAGAAGCGTTTAACAACAGCCGTAGTTCTGATAACGAGGCAAATGGTTCTTGCTTCGGCAGCAGAAATAGAGAAGATGCCAAAGAACAACTTCAGGTATTTCTTCGGTCTTCTCTTTATCGGTATTATACAAATTAAGAACTTTGGAACGATTTTTTTTATTGCTTAGATAGCTGTGGACGAGCTCACAGCCTACCTGGTGTTAAGTGGTTACTGGAGCCCATAGATATCTACAAGTGAAATGCGCTGCCCATCTTGATATATAAGTTTTTTTTTTATTGCCCTTGTAGGCAGACGAGCATACGGCCCACCTGATGGTAAGTGGTTACCGTCGCCCATGGACTTCAGCAATGCCAGGAGCAGAGCCAAGCCGCTGCCTACCGTTAAGTACTCTCTACAAGCCTCGTTTGAAGAAGGATGTGTCATAGCGCTTGGGAAACACCGTGGAGGGGAGCTCATTCCAAAGCCGGAAAAGTTCTAAGGTTTCAGTATAGTTACTACGGCTGCCCCACCCTTCAAATACCGAAACGCATTACTGCTTCACGAGAGAAATAGGCAGGGTGGCGGTACCTACCCGCGGGGACTCACAAGAGGACCTACGACCAGTAATGATTAGTATGCCTCTACGAAATTTTTCAAACGCTACTTCCTACTACCATTCGCCTATTTGTTTATCTGATGACACGGATTGGTACTTAAATGTTGGCGTGACTATTCAAAATGGAGGACGACATTTAGTGTCGGCTCGTTTGTGTAAATTCTACATAGTAACATACTAAACAGTATGTCACATACGTATTGCGATAAAGCCGAACAGATTTTTTTACTGGTGGCAGGGCCTCTTGTGAGTCCGCACGGGTAGGTACCACCACCCCGCCTATTTCTGCCGTGAAGCAGTAATGCATTTCGGTTTGAAGGGTGGGGTAGCCGTTGTAACTATACTGAGATCTTAGAACTTATATCTCAAGGTGGGTAGCGCATTTTCGTTGTAGTATGTCTATGGGCTCCGGTAACCACTTAACACAAGGTGGGCTGTGAGCTCGTCCACCCATCAAAGCAATAAAAAAAAGATAATTAGTTAGACCTAATCTCTTGTATTAATGTAAGTAAAGCTTAAAGTGAAAAAAGCGAATCAAGGAAGCGCGAATAAGCAGCTTTTACTGTATATCACAAGACCAATCTCATCTTTAATATTTTTATATTATTCATCAATTATATTTGTTTTTTTTTTTATTGCTTAGATGTGTGGACGAGCTCTCAGTCCACCTGGTCTAAAGTGGTTACTGGAGCCCATAGACATCCACAACGTAAATGCACCACCCAACTTGAGATATAAGTTCTAAGGTCTCAAGTATAGTTTGATTGTAAGAGCTTAGTCTTAGCGTGTCAGGAAACCCATCAATCTTCTGTTTAACGCAATAAGGTAAGTGTATTCTCAACTTAACAATTCCAAATCAAATTGGTTTGCATTACAGAATGCTTTCCAAAGTCGTACTGGGTTGCAACTGTAGTGGCCCTACCATTGGAGTGAGAGACTACATCAACCACCCCGATTATGGCAGGCATAGTTATAATGCTCTAACTATGGTGCAGTTGGAGACCGATGATTTAACAATAGGTATTTTAACACGCTTTATTAGCTTGGTATGTATGCACGTTTGTTTGTGTGTAACACCCTCAGACACAGCCCACTGAGTTTCTCGCCGGATCTTCTCAGTGGGTCGCGTTTCCGATCCGGTGGTAGATTCTGAGAAGCACGGCTCTTGCTAGGGTTCGTGTTAGCAACGTCCTCAGATTTGAGCCCCGTGAGCTCGCCTACTAGTTAAGGTTCCGCTGAAGTAGCCTCTCAAGGCTATCAGCTTAGGTAGGAAAAAAAATGTGTGTAACGGAATCTTTGAACCACGTTTTCACTGACTTCAAACCGTTTGATTAAATTGAAAATTAGCACACGCATTAACAACCGATTAATCTACAAGCTTTTTATTTTTATTGCTTAGGTAGCTGGACGAGCTCACAGCCCACCTGGTGTTAAGTGGTTACTGGAGCCCATAGACATCTACAACGTAAATGCGCCACCCACCTTGAGATATAAGTTGTACCACCAGTAATTACGCAAATTATAATTTTGCGGGTTTGATTTTTATTACACGATGTTATTCCTTCACCGTGGAAGTCAATCGTGAACATTTGTTGAGTACGTATTTCATTAGAATAATTGGTACCGCCTGGGATTCGAAAATCAGTGCATCGCATTCCCCTATAGCAGGGGTGGCCAACTTGATTAGAACCAAGATCTACTGTCTACTGACGAAACACTCTGCGATCTACCAATGACCTTTCTTGAAATTTAATGAAACTATGTAGTTCAGTATACAAATAAGTAGCATATTATTTTCTTTTATTAAAATAAAACTGAAGATATATAGTAAAAGAGAACTATTGGGTGGAAGAGAGGATAAATAATATGACGTAATGGTCATTGACAAATGATACAAGATGAAGATGATGCGTGCAGCAATTGGTGATTACGTTGCGAAGTCTGTTCTATATATGTATCTTATACCTCTAAACGAGCAATTATTGTATATTAATATATATATATAATCTGAATCTCGGAAACGGCTCCAACGATTTTCATAAAATTTAGTATACAGGGGATTTCGGGGGCGATAAATCGATCTAGCTACGATTTATTTTCAGAAAATGTTGTTTTATTCGTGTTTTCAATGATCAACTCTTCCCGACATCTATTGGCGAATAATAATACTATTTTTCTTAATTGAGGGCAACTAACCAAGATGGCGTTATGATCATTATCTAGTTCTTTTTAAATGTGGGAAATTTCATACTCCTCCGTCCGCGCAATTTTCGTAAAGAGGGGTATAAAGTTTTTGCTTCACGTATTAATATATAGATACTTAAGATAACAATATCGGGGGGTGAACAGCTATTTGAGGGAGCTATTTGAGATTTCTTAATTGAGGGCAACTAACCGCTTTAAAGACACAAACAGACGGTCATCGTCTAGTTTATATTTATTTGTCTTGCCACGATCGACTGAACTAATAGCCATGATTGACCGGTCGATCGCGATCTAACGGTTTGCTACCCCTACTCTATAGGTACCTCGCGCATCTAATCCTTAGTAAACAACTAGCTAGCTTTAATTATAATTTTTACGTTTCCAGAATTGGGTCCAATATGTCAGCCACCCTCGCATTTTATGAACCCTAGAATATATGCAATGGCGCTCTCTAATGGTGGGTACAGAATTACTTTCTTTTTTTTATTGCATAGATGGGTGGAAGAGCTCACAGCCCACTAGGTGTTAAGTGGTTACCAGAGCCCATAGACATCTATAACGTAAATGCCGCCACCCACCTCCATTACTTTATCCATTTAATTCGTTAATTTTACTCGACAGTACTTATGCAGTATAGTAGTATGCAATGCTATTTTTAACCGACTTCAAAAAAGGAAGAGGTTCTCAATTAGACTGTATGGTTTTTTTTATGCTTGTTACCTCATAACTTTTGACTATTTTGATGATTCTTTTTTTATTAGAAATCTGACGCTTCCCGTGTGGTCCCATTTCAATTAGTCCAGTTCTGTTAATGGTATCCATGAGAGAACCATATTTAAGACTTTTAAATTTGCATTAAGTACGTGCGCGACAAATAGATGAATAACTCAATAACTCAATATCACGCCAACCGATTTCGATGATTATTGTTTTTAATGTATATTAATTTGTTTTGGAATATCTTTTTTTTCTATTTGAAGTCGGTTTTTGTTAAAGCTATCTATTTATCAAAAGATCTGTTATGATGGTCGAGTGAAGAGAAACAATTGATTACCCATTTTTGGCCTTAGCGTAATCTATCACAGAATCTGGAAATAATGTGACCCGTTCGAATGACAAATATGTGAAATGAGGACTTACCTAACTGAAGTCGCCGTATAAGATTAAAATTGCTGCATTATGGCTAATAAACCACTGTGACTATAAGAACATATTTGCAGAACATAAATCTGAGATTTTAAATATATATAATACGTTAATTACTTTCAGACTGTACAAAGCCTATTGTAAATGTTTACAAAATGAAATATGTCGGCGATGAAGAGTGTGGACAGTACTACAGAAGGGCAGAGGTAAGAGAATCATAGGGAAAAGATCACGCAAGGTTCGTTATTGTACTAGTGATGGTAGGACGTCTTGTGAGTCCGCACGGGTAGGTACCGCCGCCCTGCCTATTTCCGCCATGAAGCAGTAATACGTTTCGGTTTGAAGGGTTGCCGTTGTAACTATACTGAGTCCTTAAAACTCATATCTCAAAGTGGGTGGCAGCATTTACGTTGTACATGTCAGTTCAGTTTGATTTGAGCATTAATATGCCTAGATTTATAGTACTTAGGCCGAAGCAAAGAATACATACGTGGCTACGTCAGGCACGAGACTTATTCAACCAATTAACATTATTACTATTAATTTAAAACAACTTATACAGTTTAATTTTTCTAATAGTTCACATATGACTAACATGACCAAAAATGTAAAGTATGTATTCGGAATGTCGGAAATAATCTTCTTCGTTATCTCCACCTTATCCCACTAGGTGGGATTGGCACAGGGAATTTTTCTATTTCATTGTCTTTTATCAGCCGTCATCTCAACACTCACTCCTCTCTCTCTCATGTCGTCATACACACACTCCATCCATGTCTTCTTCGGTCGACCTCTTCCCCCTCTACGTCGAAAATAATATAATACCATAATAAACCACCAAAAAGCGTAAAATTAAAGCGTAAAACTAATTTAAACCGAAGCTTAAGAACACTTTAGTGCTGTTTTCATTTCAGCTGGACATGGGCAGCTTATGGCCGAAATACGCTACGTGTGCACAAGCCATTATGGGCAGAGAATGTGTTTGGAGAAGTGGCACCGCTTTAGTTACGAAAACTAATGGAAGATGGAGACTGGTATTTAGGATTAATTACTTTAAAAACAGTCCCGTCATATCTAGGAATTCGGGCAATGCCCTCATTTGTGACTCATCCTAACTCAAAATGAGCTCTCATTATATTATTGTGTCCAATTTGTAACAAACAAGTGTTTACTTTCTTATTTTTACTACACTTAGTTTATTTTTATTATGTTTCACACAGAGATTTATCTCGTTTAATAAAATATAATTTCATTACTAAAAAGAAACCGGGTTTCACTATACATTACAAAAAATATATATTGGGGGAAAAAAACGTGCCTTTAAAATAATTCAAGAAATGTGGTAAAGAGGAATTAGTTAATGCTTAATTAAATCTACTTTTACGGTTTCATATCGCGTTTATTAAAGTGATTTTACTATTTTTATTATTTTAAAAACTATATAGTTTTCATGACGGACGGTTATGGTGCTATTTGAATATTGTGCTAACAATGTCATTTAATTTTACAATAAACAATTTAAGGATATTTAATCGTAAAAGTAGCCTCAACTGTGTCGCGAAAATCGAAGAAAATAATAAAGGTATAGCAATCTAATAGATTTAGAATCGTGGGCATAACACCAGCCGGATGGTCAGATCTGGTAAATGAAGGGATTGGTGGTAGTCTATACTATGCGATCCATGATCGAACGCTGTGGAGGAACGTTACATGTGGTCGCGATCCTCAGCAGTGAGGGAACTATGAAGAAAAAAGAAAGAAACAAACAAAGAAAGAAAGAAAGAAAGAAATCATTTATCATACGCATAGTGAAAATGAGTTATTACATAAGGTAAAAGCAGCGTGTATGCTTTGTCATTACTTGACATGCGAATTTTAGTGCAGAGCAAAATATTATGATATTACATAATTTACCATTCATTCATCCATAATTCAACTAATAATTAAAAAATTCATTTCTTTTCAATGTCGTCCCTAAGAAAATCATTTATGTGATAATAATTTTCACTAATAAGAATATCTTTTAGTTTTTTCTTAAAATGAAAATCGTCTAGGTCTCTTAATTTCTTTAGTAGTTTATTGAATATCCTAACGCTCATACCTAGTATACTATTCTAGAAGAAAATCAAATAGCTGTCTGGCTTTTCCATTTGCCAATTGACAATTAACCACATTGTAACCGCAAAAGTCCATAAACTACTACTAGAAATTCAGAACTTGATAAAGAAAAAAACCACTCTTCTCCGATCAGATTGGTTTTGGTATCTACGGACCTGGTTGCGGGGCCCCGGCGAGGTTCTTGGACTACGGAATGTACGAACGCTGGGTGAGCCGCAGTGTTGCCAGGATCGGGAGACCAGCAATCTCGCAAATGGATACCGATTACATCATATTACGACGCAGTAAGTGAAACAATAACCAGTTGCTTGGATACGGAGAAAATACGCTTTTGATGCCCAATAAATGGATATAGGACTACTGAAGAGGTTATATATTACATCAGGTTCGATGTAATAAAAATGAAATAAATAAGAAAATAGTTTGAACCAATTCAAAAGCTTTGTAAATTTGTATGTCGACAGGCATGCAACTTTTTTGCAGGTGTTTTAACCTCAAAGCCGGTGCCCTGAGTGCTTTGAAGCTAAAATAGACAGGACCTATCCCCGATCCTGCGGACCGAATGGTAAACAGTCGACGTCGCCCAAAACACGTCATTTCGTATCCTCCCGATCCATAACGGTGCTTTTAGGTACCCCAAGCACCGGTCACCGTTCTCGTCGAACCCGTCGCTTGCCAGTATATTAACTTAATCGGTCAGTAAATTAACCCAGAGACACAGCTCACTGAGTTTCTCACCGGATCTTCTCAGTGGGTCGCGTTTCCGATCCAGTGCTAGATTCAGCGAAGCACTGCTCTTGCTAGGGCTGGTGTTAGCTACGTTCTCAGGTTAGAGGCCCGTGAGCTCACCTACTCGTTCGGTGAATCTAATATGACCCCTCGAGGTCACTAGAATTCTTCTTCTTCTTCTGAGTTGGTCTCTTAATTTCTGAAGGTCGTGTCTAGTTAAAAATGTTGAACACTTGATGCATTATTATTCCCCACGTCTTCCTGTCCTCGGCGGTCTTTATAGCCTCCGTCATTGGCAGGCCGGTGAGCGTCTTTACCAGATCAGACCAGCGGGTAGGTGAGCGTTCGCGTGATCTTCTTCCGTCAACTACCATCAGCTTCTCTAAGCTATCGGGGCCACTAGGATAGGCAGGGAAAAAAATCAATTTAACGCGAACGATGCGATAAAATTTCAGCGTTTTCAAACGTCCAAAGATACGGTCCGTGTGATCCAGAGGAAACCAAAACGGAGATATTCACTGATACAACCCAGATCATGAGAGAAGGACACAATTTTAATGTTCGCTACAATGTGAGTTTTTTTTATTTATTGCTTATGTTACGGTTACCTGCAACTCATTGCGAACAGAATGGAGATGGATTGTCCATTCTTCTTAGCATGGAAAGGCCTACATGTGGCGGTATAATATTATTATGTATTTCCGAATTGTACTTTTATATATTATGAGCTAAAATATGGTCTGAAATAAATTATTACTATTATTATTATGTGGGTGGAGGAACTCACGGCCCTGATGTTATGTGGTTACTGGAGACATCTACAACGCAAATGCCGCCACCCGTCTTGAGATATAAGTTCTAGGGTATCAGTATAGTTACAACAGCTGCCCCATCCTTCAAACCGAAACGCATTACTGCTTCACGGCAAAAATAGGCAGGGCGGTGGTACCTACCCGTGCGGACTCACAAGAGATATACCACCAGCAAAGGTTACCAGGTTAGGTAGGTTCAACTTTTATTCTAGATGATTACATCCGATATATTAAGGTAGTGATTTATTACGACTTCATTTGTTATGTAATTAAAAAATAACCTAATGAGGTTACATACCTCATTTATATAAATGTAGCCTAAATTCGACTCTAACAACTAACATTTTAAACTTAGTTTTATTTTTTTCCTCTTTTGTATCGTTATTGACAATTTTCTTAGGGAGTCAAAACGAAATTATTTCCAAAAGTTTTTCTCGATATTACTAAAACTCGCTAACAATGTACTGTAATAGTCAGAAAAAAAAGAAAATAGGTCGACAAACGAAAAAAATTAATGAACTGTTTTTTTTTTGTTTTTTTATACAACATTTATTATACGATCAATAAAAACTAAAAAAAATACTTTCATTTTATTTCAGCTATCTCTGTATGCGTCAGTCGAGTACTCATGTATAGTGTTCCGTGCAAAAAATGTCAGACAAATTCAAGATGGCGGGCCGTATGTAAATTCGTTTCGCAAACCAAAAATCAGCTTAAGACGTTGGTGTTCGGGCCCCGCAGCGCTTTGCCACGACTTTCAATACATCGAAATACATTTTTACGTTGAAATTAACTTCGAAAGCGATATTTTATTCAAAGTCAGCGCCTACGGGAAGGAGGCAAAGGTTATCGACCCTTTGAAAGCGACATTATTCGCCAACCAAAGATATTCGCAACCTCACATTCAAAATTATCGAAGACTGAAACATGAATTGAAAGTAAAAAAGCTAGGAAGAAACAATTTTTGGTTTTATAAGGAAGATTTAAAGTGAATTAGTTTATAATCCATCAGTTTTCTGTAATCTAATTATATAATTTTGTTTCCATCGATTATAGGGTTTTCTATCAAATGACTGACACCTTGCTTTGTATGTTCTTTGTCTGGGTGTTAAATATTTAAACGTGTTATATTTAAATTAGTATGTACCTAAGTATATAAGTATGATTCCCATAGTACAGACTATCTTAATTCGGGACCATTGGAACTTGTCTATTGCTATTATTATTAAATAAAGATGTAATTAAATCAATAACACAAACAAACAGTTTTTAACTGCTTGCCGGAATACGAAACATGCGATAAAAAACAGCATAAAAGCAAACTAGGAATCTTCATTTATTTCATAATTTGTACGGGCCATACGACACCCATAAAAAAGAGGAAAAACTGTCAATTCATGATCTACAAATCCCAAGGAAGTTGATGTGAAGAAGGTGACCGATAGATGAACTACCAACTTAATTGAGAGTAAAATCATTTACTCCTGAATTTAAAATAATCCAAGGTACTTTTGACCTTTTTAAAAGATACGTGGTCATAATCGCTTTCTAGTTCAAATGGAAGACTTGGTACTGACGTGGTCGGTCCACACGGTAGATAACAGTCCGAACGATTTTTTTTAAAATCCCTAACATAGAATACTTCTTCTTCTTGAAATTTTTGCTAACGCGTATTGTTTTCCTGTCAGATTCGTCAACAAATTATTGTTGTAGAAGGCATTATTTACCAGAATTTTCACATTTGTTGATGATAATTCGACGTGTTGCAAGTGCCATGCCCAGTAGACTCGGAAACAGCGCCTAAATATCACGAACTCCCCATAAAATGTGGTAAAACCCATTAAATAAAGTATGTATAATGCAGATAGCTGTGAAAGCTTAAAACAACCAATCCAAATATTAACCAGCCAATCGCTGCACCCGAAATAATAGATCTATTGAGATAACCCCAAAGTGTTAAATATCTTTGGCAAGCCCAAATTCGACACGATCTATACTGTCTTCGTAGGACTTTTCCAACCAATTCAAAATTGAACAAATTAGATTTTTCAAATTAATATCTCTACCTCCTCGGGTCAATGTGATCTCAAAGCATTGAGTATATGCATAAAATACTCGTACACTTGCTATTTTAATAGAGGGTTTTAGTGCCTCTCCATGCACCCGTTATTTCGTTGCGCCTTTTTTCCCTACCTAAGCTGATAGCCTTGAAAGGCTATTTCAGCGTAACCTTAACTAGTAGGTGAGCTCACGGGGCTCAAACCTGACGACGTTGCGAACACGAACCCTAGCAAGAGCCGCGCTTCGCAGAATCTACCACCGGATCGGAAACGCGACCCGCTGAGAAGATCCGGCGAGAAACTCAGTGGGCTGTGTCTGTGGGTTAATTTACTCGTCCAGCCTTTCGTCGCAAGCGACGGGTTCGACGAGAACGATGACCGGTGCTCGAGGTACCTAAAAGCACCGTTAGTGGATCGGGAGGATCCGAAATGACGTGTATCGTTGCGCCCTAGACCACTGTATTCCGATATCCAACAAAGGATCAACATATCACTAAAATTTTCCATATTCCCGCAAGTAGAACGAACCTCCTTAGATATTCCCCTTTATCAAAGATTTGTAGTAAATATAACCAAATATGTGCATTAATTGACGGCATCGACATTTTTAACAAAACGTGTCCTGTCTCAAAAACAAACTAGTATCCAAGTTCCTTTGTTTATAATTGATGAGAGAATGTTAAGTAGCTAACTCTTGTTTTCATGTTATTTTCAATAAATTTTTTTGTCGTACTGTTAACATTTAAATTTAGCCTATTTTTCCGCTGTTTGTAAAATTGCTGTAACATGTCATAGTGTGTCATAAGAGATTACTGTACATGCCTGTACCTAACTTACATACCAGTACTTAATTTTATACATGTTAATTTTAAGCTTGAATGTGTGTATTGCTGTTGGTGTGTCTAAATAAATAAATATTATTGCCGCCAGACTTGTTTAAAGTTTCGCCAATCGCCAATACGTCCAGCTACACCAACAATTTCTAGATCTATTGTATAAATAGAATACGTTCCGCTGAATTCGCGTGAAGGGAATCGTTATTGAAACGAACTAATCTAGTGGAAGCGTCGTCCGGCACCGTTCACGGTTGCACTGCAGGTATTTTTCCGCACTAGACCTCTTGGATGTTGCGTTTTTAATTGGTACAAGAGGTCCCGCAGTAGTCGAAATTCAACTATAATTTATTGAAATTAAATGTTTGTACACTATTTTGATTCTATTGTCAAAGACTATAATCACCAAAATGATTTCGCCAAGACTACACTATAAAAAATATTAACAAAGACAAACAATATTTAATCTATTCTCAATTTGACAACAGACGTCAAGAACAAAAGTTTAACAATAAATAGTATGCATGCGTGTGTGCGTTAAATACATGATATGTTGTGTGTGTAATGTTTTCTTTATTGATTTAATGTATCTCTTATGCATTATTTTAAAAAAATATTAGCATTGTGCACTTCTTCTCTATATTCTCTATAAGTGTGGAAAATTTCATACTCCTCCGTCCGCGCAATTTTCGTAAAAAGGGATACAAAGTTTTTGCTTCACTTATTAATATATAGATAATTTATGACCATTGAGTGCGTTGTGAATTCTCTCAGATGAGTGTCAAGTATTCTTATCTGTCATGCGTTGTGTTCTAAATAACGTATTAAGCGTCATTTAATTATAACCGTAACTTTGACGGCGAGTTTCAAGGTGGGTGGGTATCATTAAAATTATATGTCTATAGGCTTCAGTAACCACTAGAACTACAATCTTCGATCTAGGCATCTAGTGCAAAAGTAAATCGGAAAAAGATTAACGTAAAAAAGGAGTTTATTTATCCAACGATGGAAATTATACACGCTATGACCAGCGCCTTAAATCTCGGTACTCTTCGGTACACTCCTCGGCCGGTACTCTTATTCAGATCGCTAAAAAACACTAGAAAACGAAAATGATGTAGAAAACATGCTTTCTGTGAGTGTCGCCCCAGGGCATAATGCCCCTTCCCCCTCGCTACGCCAATGCAAGACGGACGCCACTATTCACAACTTTCCATCTCCGGAAATCGGTAAAGCTAACACTGATACAATCTCGGGATTTGAGTTCGTCCACAAAAAAAAAAAGCTAAAGAAACCACACACGTTATTATAACTCCAGTGCGAATCTCATGTAGTATTCCAGGTTCGACTCGGTACAATGTTGGCTTTCAGCTTCAGTTCGCGTTGAAAGAGCTCAAAATGTTTTAACGTAATTGAAAGTTCTTCGTTTAACCGTTTTTTATTGAGTTATAAAATCTAAATTTACCAAATTAGGACTTAGCGACATATTTTTTTTAATAAGTTAATTAATTACTAGGGAAATTGCGGATATTTTTTGCGAGAAATCGTCGTGGCCTAACGGATAAGACGTCCGGTGCGTTCGTGTTGAGCGATGCACCGGTGTTCGAATCTAAGACGGGTACCAATTTTTCTAATAAAATATACGTACTCAACAAAATATGTTCACGATTGACTTCCGCGGGGAAGGAATAACATCGTGTAATAAAAATCAAACCTGCAAAATTATAATTTGCGTAATTACTGGTGGTAGGACCTCTATGAGTCCGCGCGGGTAGGTACCACCACCTATTTCTGCCGTGAAGCAGTAATGCGTTTCGGTTTGAAGGGTGGGGCAGCCGTTGTAACTATACTGAGACTTAGAACTTATATCTCAAGGTGGGTGGCGCATTTGNGAAGGAATAACATCGTGTAATAAAAATCAAACCTGCAAAATTATAATTTGCGTAATTACTGGTGGTAGGACCTCTATGAGTCCGCGCGGGTAGGTACCACCACCTATTTCTGCCGTGAAGCAGTAATGCGTTTCGGTTTGAAGGGTGGGGCAGCCGTTGTAACTATACTGAGACTTAGAACTTATATCTCAAGGTGGGTGGCGCATTTGCGTTGTAAATGTCTATGGGCTCCAGTAACCACTTAACACCAGGTGGGCTGTGAGCTCGTCCACCCATCTAAGCAATAAAAAAAATAAAAAAAAACTCCTAAACGAGACCCACAACGACTAATAAATCTTTAAAAATTACAAAGCAACACAATGTTCGTGTTTTAAAAGCCTTCGCTCGCGGACGAGCTTCGAGTTAAGCTCTCGTACCGGCGCCGTCAACAATGCAAGCGAATACAAAGTTTCTAAACTTCGCGAGTGTGCATCCAACAGATAATTTAATATAAAACAAAATGAGCTTTGCAGTTGTTAAATTTTAGTGGTGGACAGCAGTTTGGCTCTGCCCTGGCAATGCTGATCTGGCTTGCTCATCATGCGGGGGGGGGGGTACCTGAGCTCGTGAACCAGTCCAGCAATTTTTTGAAGTGAAAACTTTTTTAGCATCGTTGTGATTTGAAAGTCGATGAAACGAAAAAGCGACAGTAAAAAGAGACAGACACATAAATCCATAAGATTTAACATGGGAGAAAACGAGATAGGAAGCATAATGCAGTGTTCTTTAAATTCATGTTTCTCTTTATGCTTCCGGGTCGTACCTAATATTCGTACTCAATAATCGAATCAATCTATGTATAATTTAAACGAATAAAATATAAAATAATTATCAAACTTTGTATCATTACGATCATTACTAAAACCTACAGTTATCCTCTTCCCGAAATTTTACATTCGTCTCATTATCTTGAAGCCAACATTTTTGAAGGTTTCACTTCTACCNTGTTTCTCTTTATGCTTCCGGGTCGTACCTAATATTCGTACTCAATAATCGAATCAATCTATGTATAATTTAAACGAATAAAATATAAAATAATTATCAAACTTTGTATCATTACGATCATTACTAAAACCTACAGTTATCCTCTTCCCGAAATTTTACATTCGTCTCATTATCTTGAAGCCAACATTTTTGAAGGTTTCACTTCTACCAATTTTGTATTGCA